GAATTAAAAAAAGGTGATGCTCCTCGCTGGTTAAGCACTCACGGAATAGGAGTTAAATATTTACATGTGCGAATTGATGAAAAACCGAAATATTATTCTCATGCGGAATATAAAAAGTTTGAATAAATTTCATTTTTACCTCTTTCTTTAACCTTTTTTGTTCTAATGTTTAAAAAATAATATATAACAATTAATAATTATTATGACAAGAACATTAAGCATTGCCATTAAAGAAAATACCTATCAAGAATTGCGGCAAAAAATCGGACTGGGGAAAATTAGTTCTTTTGTTAACCAAGCGGTGGAAAAAGAGTTATTTGAGTTAGCCCAGGAAGAAAAAAAAGAAAAGGAGAAATTAAAACAGCAACTCATTAAGGGTTATCAAGACCAGACTAGAAATAGAAAATTAAAGGAAATGTTGCAAATTTACGGAAAAATGTCTTGGGAAGATATATCTACTGAACTAACGACACGCGAAAAAAAAAATGTCAAAACCAAAAAATAATTTTCCAAGAAAAGGTGAAATTTGATTATTAAGAAATCCGGAAAGAATTAAAGAGATAGGTAAAGATTATCGCCCAGTTTTAATAATTAGCAATGATGAACGAAATGAATATAGTCTTTCAGTGGTTGGCTTGCCACTAACTACTGATGATTTAGAGAACATTTTGCCGGTGCAAATTTTTATTGACAGTACTCCGGAAACGGGTTTAGATTGTTCCAGTAAGATCTTGTGCGACTCTCCTTTTACCTGAGATAAAGGACTACGCTTTGAAAAAAAGTTAGGAGTGGCTAATAAAGAAGTTATGAAAAAAGTTAAAAAAGCCTGAAAAATTGCTTTTGATAGCGAAGAGTGGTAAATCTAAACCTGTTATTTATTAAAGAACAAAACAATAAAAATTATTTGCTTTACTTTTGGTAGGCTTCTTGACATTTTTTTAACAATTTTTCCGCTTGTTCTTTGCCTTCAAATTCTCCTATTTCTACTTTTTTGCCTTCTAAATCTTTATAGCGAGCAAAAAAATGTTTAATTTTCTCTTTCGTTTGGTGAGGAACATCCGCTAATTTTTGAATATGACTTAATTCCGGTTCACCAGCATTCACGGCTAATAATTTATCATCTTGTTCGCCTTTATCAATCATTTTTAAAACTCCAATAATTCGTATCGGAACATAAAGTCCACAAAAAGTGGGTTGAATAGTCAAACAAATAACATCTAACTCATCCCCATCGGGTGCTAAGGTTTCTGGAATAACACCATATTCTCCTGGATAAGACATCGCCACTGATAAAACTCTATCTAATTCGAACCTTTGTTTAGTTTTATTGTATTCAATTTTATTAGCACTGCCTTTTGGTATTTCGACTTTCATATATATTTCCATATTAAAATAATTTTACTTAAGATTAAAAATCAATAAAAAATATAATTATCTATCACCATATGCCAATTACGGAAGAAAAAACAAGTAAGAAAAAACAGGATGCAAAGCGAATTAAGAATAGTAAGTACAAAACATTAATTAAAAATCAGTTTAAAAAAAATGAAGTTTACTTGAAAGAAAATAAAATAGATGAAAAGGAATTAGAAAAGTTAATTTCAGAAACACAGAAGATATTAGACCAAGCCAAAAGTAAAAAAGTAATCCATGCAAATAAAGCCGCTCATAAAAAAAGCCAATGAAGCAAAAGACTAAGTCTGCCAAGAGGAGAAAAAAAAGAGGCAAACCGAGAAGAATTTAGTTAACTATGAACTACTCCTACTTACAGAAGTAAGAGTTTCGTAGAGGTTAACTAATCTAATTAAAGTTAATTAACATAACAAGGCTATATTCTCTCAGAGAACGAAGTTCCTAGCCTTTGGTCTAACCCTAATTTGATTTGTGCTTGGTGAAGGATGTTTTTGCCAGCATTAATATCTCTATCTAAAACATTGTCACAAGTAGGGCAGGAAAATATTTCTTTAGCTTTTAGTTTCTCATTAATTTCTCCACATTTGCTACGCCTCTTGCTTGTGTGATATGGATTAACAAACTCTACTCACTTACCAGTTTCCTTCACTTTGTAAGTGGTGAAGTTCGCTAGTTGATATCAACAAGATTTTAACATTCCATCACGAGTTCATTTCCCCACTTTTTTACTCTGAACCATTTTAGAAGTATTTAGTTTCTCAAAAGCAATCAAATCAAACTTGTTCACTAATTTCCTAGATAGTTTGTGGTTAAGGTCTTTCATCCGATTACTAACCCTCTTGCCTATTCTAGTCATTTCTGACTTAACTTTCTTTCAGTTATTACTCCTTTTAACCTTTCTGCTTAATAACCTTTGAAGTTCAATATATTTCTTTTCTATCCCTTTCCAATATTTAGGATTAGCAATTTTTCATCCCTCGGAATTAGCAAACAATTTTCTTACATTTCTATCTATTCCTACTTGCTTTTTGATTTCACTTAAAGGCATTTGGAGAGGGATTTCAACATCACAAACCAAATTAATCCTCCATTGGTCTTTTTTTCAAGAAATGGTTATGATTTTAGGAGTTCCTTTTAAAGGATTAGTGAGTTCAAAGGGAATAATTATTTGGGATTGTCTCTTACCCTTGTAATTTCCTTGGGATAAGAATATTTGATTGTCTTTGATTTGATAACCCTCCTGATGAATTGAAAAACTGTCATATCAACGATTAGGAGATTTTTCTCGTGGATATTTTGTCTTAAGGTTGATTGCCGTGTATTCTTTATACTTTTTTCAAGCATCAGGCAATCGGTTCTTAACTACTTCTTGGAGAGTTCAAGCAGGTATTTGGTTTAGTCATTGATATTTTTTAAGTTTCTTTAATTGGGTTAATTCTTTTGTTGTTCTTCCTTGGTTGGTTGAGGTTGTTTTTTGTTTCGCTGAATTTTCAATTTCTTATCAGTTTTTATTCGTTTTTTTAAGAAGTAGTTGTAGACTTCATTACATCCATTAGAAATGAATTGAAGTTGCTCCCTAGTTTCAGAATTAAGTTTCAAGTTGCCTTGATAGGTTTTAGTGAGAATATTTTCTTTTAGACCCTTCATAATTTAAATACTCAATTAGTTAGCCGAGAAGGGTCTAATCAACTGACTAACTAGTTTAATACTTAAAACTATAATTATATTTTAGCAATTAAGGAGAACAAAATTACAAATTTTGCCTTTCATCTCCGACTTAATTCTATTAGAATTTGAAGGTCGGGGCATTCTTGCTAGGTTTAAGGTAAAATTACGAAATACTATACCGAAATTTCAGACTAGTGGAAATAAATTTACCTAGGGAGTCATTAAATAAAATTCGCAATTTTATTAAAAATGACTTGAATAATATAAAAAAATATTGCAAGTAAAAAAATAACAAAAAAAATAAGAGAGATAAAAAAATAAAATTTAAGTCGAGAAGCAAAGTGTTTATTTTTTCCCAATCGGGATGATTATATTAGTTAAAATAAGGATAAAAATAAATTAGAAAGCAAAAAGGGTTTGGACTGAGTGAACTTTTTTCTTGGAAAAGAAAAAGAGAGTTTTATTCTTTTCTTTTAGTCTAACAGTTTCAAAATACTGTGGAATTTATTTTCCTGGCAAAATTGTCTTAATTCTGGGTTATTTTTCCATTTTTCCCAACTAAATTTACATTTTTCATATATGTCTGGTAAAGAAATATTTATAACTAAACTAATAAGTTTTTTATTGCTGAGAACTAATTTTGCTTGATCTATTAATAGATGCCTAGTAATTTCGGGCAAGTCATTTACTTTTTGATAAATATTTTCTACAGTCTGAAATTGCCGAATTAGCTTTTTGGCATTGACTGGTCCAATTCCTTTTATTCCCTCAATATTGTCGACATTGTCTCCCAACAAACTTAAATAATCAATGTAACTATTGGGAGTAAATTTATATTCTTGGCAAAAGTTATCATAAGTATAGAGAGTTGCCTTTCCGTTAATGTATTTTAAAATATTAACATTTTGACTAAGTAGTTGAAGTAAATCCTTATCACGAGTAAAAATGTCAAACGTTAAACCAGGATTATCTTTCGTTTTTTGATTGACAAAAGAAGCAATTAAGTCATCCGCTTCCTGATTTTCTAATTGTAAGTAGGTGATACCAGTTTTTTCTAATAGTAATTTTGCCGTTTCCATTTGTTGATACAACTCCTCGGGCATCGCTTCCCGTTGAGCCTTGTATTGTGGTAGCAAATTTTTTCGGAAATTAGTTCCACCACCATCAAAAGTTACTAATAATTTTTGATAATCCGTTTTTTTGAAGATACTAATCAACACTCGTAAAAAGAAAAAAATCGTTCCTTGCTTCATTTTTCAAGGTAATTTTTGGGAAACGTGGTAAGAGGAGTAGAGAAGGTTATTGCCATCAACTATTAATATTTTTTGTTTCATATATTTACTTAACGAGAATAATTAAGTTTTTTAATTTAATAGCAATACACCGTTCTTTATTTTTAATGATCAAAATATTAAAAAATACCTCAGACAAAACTAAAATTATATTAATTAAAGATTTGAGGTATTATATTTTACTTAGGTAGTTATTAAAATGGAAAGAAAAGAATTAGAAAAACTGGCTCAGAAAGTTCAATTAGAAATCAAAGAGAGCGAATTATCGTTTTGTTTGGAGACTTTTTCGCACTTGGAAAAATTACTGACCAATTTTAAAAAAGAAAAAGTAGGAAAGGAGGTCAAACCCATGGTCAGAATTAATGTCGGTCACTTAACCTTGAAGGATTTAAATAGATTAAAAAAAAAGTTTACTCAGTCAAGGGTTAGCAAGGAAGTCCAAGTAAAAAATTCTCTGAATACTGATGATGGCTTTGTATTATTTAAAAAATAATTTTTAAATTCTCTGATAATTTGTTATTCAATTTTACCATTTATCTAAAACTTTATTAAAGGGAGGTGTGGCCGAGCGGTTGAAGGCGGTAGTCTTGAAAACTACTAATACTTTTGTATTCAAGGGTTCGAATCCCTTCGCCTCCTCCAAAATTATGAGATTTTTTAAGTATACTTGAAATTTATGCTATGCTACTAGTAAAAAAATAGGTATTGCTCTTTTCCATTTAATTTTTATTACTTTATTTTGTACTTTGCCTCATGAGTTTGGGCACGCGATAGTCGCTAACTGTTTTTCTCGAAAAGTAGGTTATATTTCGATTAATTTTTTTCTTTCTTCTGACTATTGGTGTTCTTTTAAGTTATTCAAATATGAAATTAGGTTCGGAAAATTACCTCTTATCGGTGGTTCTACCCATCATAGTGGAGGAAGTGAGGGTAGGTTAATTATAATGGCGTCTGGACTAGTAATGAATTTATTACTGGCTTTGCTTGGTTGATGGGGCGAAAGTAAGGTAAAAAATAAGTTTTGAAAGAAGTTTTTTTGTTTACTCAAAGAATATAACCTTTTAACTATTATTTTCAATTTCTTGGCTGCTCTTTGAAGTCCTGGATGTGATGTGAGAAGAATATTCTCTTTATTATTTTTTAAAAAATAACTTTGCGGAAACTTGTAATAAGAAAAAACGTTAAAAAAATAGCAACCACGACTTGCTTTTGGTGGTAATAAACCTTTTATTTCTTTTTCTAACCAGATTTGAGAAATAGTTGTCCACAACCTATTTTTATTACTAAAGTCTAAATCATGACTTAGTATTAAGGAAAGAATTGTTGACTTGAAAAACTCCCCTTATGTTTTTAGCCCAAAATAAGCACACTTTTAGTATTTTAGCCTTCTTTTTAAGTTTAGTAGTAATTTATATGAGTTATAAAATGGAACGTTTAGGAATATAAAACTGCCTTTAAAAAGTTATCAAAAAGATTATTTTGGGACTGAACTGGAGATGGTTTTGGAATCAGTTTCAGTTTTGGCTTGATTGGCTTTTCGCTTGATTCAACTTTTTTGATTGTAATGCGGATCTTGGAGCATTCTTTTTAAATAATAATATTTGCTGTAATTGACAAAATATTTTTTATATTTTTGTCGTCGTTTTTTTTGTAATTCTTTGATTTCTGCCGGAGTGCGGAAAATTTTTGGTCTTCCTACCATTTTTTACTTTGGTTGATTTAACTGTTCGCGATTATTAATTACTATTAGTTCATAATCAGGAACTAATTTTTCTAAGTAATTTACTAAGCGAATTAGGGAAAAATCATTAATTTTGCCTCGGCAAATATTGTATAATTCTTCTTCGGAGATAACTAACTTTTTAGCCACTTGTTCCAAAGGTAATTTATTTTTTAACTGATAAGTTAGAATTGTTTTGCAGATTCTATATTTAGTTCTTTCTTCCAAGGTAGAATTTTTCGGTAAACCAATATTTCCTCCTTCGTAATTTTTGTGGTCTAACCTTTCAATGATTTCCGTTTCGGTTAAATGATTAAAATCTTTGTTTTTTCTCATACTTATTTAATATTTCTTTTTAGTTTGATGGCAAGTTTTAATTCAAATATAATCATTATCACAAGGTACACAATTTTTAACAATGGGCAGGTAGTGAGGATGCCTAACCCCTCAGCATAAAGCCTTATCTCAGATTTTTTTTGCAAACTGAAATTAACTCTTAATTTATATTGTGAACTACCCACCACCTAAAAGAGGTTGGGGCATTCTTGGCTAGGTTAGGTAAATTTCTTTCCGATGACCTACTTCTACTACTACAATTAAGAGTTTTTGTTCTTTAATTTCGTAAATAACTCGATAATTACTGAAACGATAACGCCACTGACCTTTTCGCTGACCGGTGAGCGGTTTTCCTTTGTGGTAAGGGTCGCGAGCCAAATCAGTTTCGACCCCAATTTTTATTTTTTGGGCGATTATTCGGTCAATTTTGACTAAACTCTTCCAAGCCAACTTCTTCCATTCTACTTTATACATTCATCCTATCTATTTTCCAATTTCTTTCAAGTTCTTTTTTTCCAAAAAAAAGTCTAGTTCTTCACTAGTCAAAGTTTTACCATCATTTTTACTCACTTTTTTATAATATTTGGTAATATCTTCCGCATCTTCTAAATATTGAATTAAAGCTTCGCGAACGATAAAATCCAACGGTCGTTTACTAACCGTTTCTAAATATTTAAGATGTTTTTCTAATTTTTTAGGTAATTCGAGAGTTATATTGATTTGACTTCGGTTAATTTTATTTTCCATATTTATTATATTTGAGTAATTATTGATTTCAACCCTTATTTTCTAACTTCTTTATCTATATTATATATTTTAGTGTTTTAGATGGCTGACCCTTTCAGTTTTAGAGTTTTTTTAAGGATAACCCTCGATAAGTAGGAGGGGGGAGTTTTTGAGCCTTAATTTTTTAGTGGATTTTTAAGTTGAAAATTAGGGGGTTTAAACCTCTTTAACTTCATACTCCTTTTTCAATCACTCAAGATCTATTTCTCATTTTAGAACACTTCTTTGTTCTCACAACTTTCACTGTTCCCTTTCGTGACTTTTTAACTCTTTTCAAGTTCCCTTGAGATAAGAATTCTCATACTTCATTGCAATGGAGTCATCCTTTCTGATTATAAGTCTGCTCAGTAGCTTGACAAATTTCACAAGTATAATTCGCTTGTTGGTAAACTAACTTCCGGATTCGATTTCATTCCGCGAGAGACAATAAACTACGGCAATTATTGTAAAAAGAACTCTGGGGGGATTAGGTTTAAAGTAAGTTTAGTAGTCATATTTTGTTAACTAACTTCCTCTTTTTCTTTGGTGGGAGAAGCAGAAGGATAATTAAGGTGAACCAATTTGGTTTCCTTAACTCGTTTTTGCATTTCTTTTTCTAATTCCTTTTCATAATCTTGGTTGTTAGGGATGATTTCTTGAATTCAGTTTTCTTTACTTTGGGCTGGTTTATGCTAAAATCAAGTAATATGTCCGCTAACCTCCAAAACTTTTTTCAAGACCTCCAAAAACGTGGTGTAATTGCTAATGTTGCTAATTTAGAAAATTTTTATCAATTAAAACCAGCGGAGAAAGTAATTTATTTAGGAATAGATTGCACGGGCGAAAATTTACATATCGGACATTTATTTTTGTATTTTCAAACCGTTCGTTTTGCCAAAGAAGGTTTTACAGTTTTGCTCGTTTTAGGTGGTGCCACGAGCAGAATTGGTGATCCTAGTGATAAAGATAAAGAACGACCCTTGCTAGAAGAAAAACAAATAGAAAACTATCAAGAAAAAATAAAATTACAGTTAGAAAGAGTATTAATTAAACCTAAAAAAATAGGAGAAGCAAATTTTTCTCCTTTGGAACAGTTTTACTCCGATACCCCAGAACTATTAAATAAAATTTACCGAATACTAAAAATCAACCAAAATGATAAAAAAGAGCAACAATGAAAGGATTATTTGCGTTATATTTGACCTTTAAAAACAAAACCCGACTTTCAAATTTTAAATAATAAAGATTGACTAGAAAAAATAAATTTTATTGATTTTCTCCGTCAAACCGGTAAATATCTAACTATTGCTTACTTGTCTAGTAAAGAAACCATCAAAAAAAGAATTAGTACTGGAATTTCTTTTTTAGAGTTTAGTTATCCGCTGATTCAAGCTTATGATTTTTATTATTTATATGAAAACTATAATTGTCGAGGGCAGTTAGGAGGGAGCGATCAATGAGGTAATTTGACTACTGGTTTAGAACTGATTAAAAAAGTTCATTCAAAAAAAGAAGCCAAAACTTTTGCTTTCAATTTTCCTTTGTTGACTGATAAGGATGGGAGAAAATTTTCCAAAAGTGAAAGTGGCAAAAAGATTTTATGATTGAATGGTGAGGAGCGGGATTTTTATGAATTTTTTCGTAATTTGCCTGACGAACAGGCCAAAATTTACATCAAACAATTTACTTTTTTGGAAGAAGAGCAAATTAACGAACTATTAAATAATCCAACTAAGTTGAGAATATTGCAATGAATATTGTATGAACTAATTCATTGGTTTAACTATGGTGAATTTGGAAGGAAACACTAGTAATTAAAGCCCCAGCAGCCACAAAAATTTCCCTTTGGTGAATCAAAGCAAATTAGTTTATGGTATCTAGCATGACAGAGAAGCTTTTATTGCTTCTTAGTATGGTTTTCTCGTTATTCGTTATCTTTCTTTTTGGCTAATTCTTTTTCTAAATGATATAATTTTGCTTGGTGAACTTTTTCATCAATTCTTCCTATTTTTTTAATACTTACAATGGAAGGAGAATGATAAGAAAAAATGCTTTTAACTGCCACTTTATCACCTCCTTTGCTATCTTTCAATACTGAAAAAGTATAACCAATTTGGCAAGGATTTTTTTGACCAATTACCGTGCCTTTGAAACGAGTCAAACGATGTTTTGGCTTTCCATCCTCTTTATTTTTTTCATTTTGATTAAAATTTTTAGTAATAATTTCTACTTTATCGCCAACTTGTAAGGGAGGCAAGTCAGTGCGAAAATATTGTTTGGTTATTTCACGAATGGTATCCATAATTTAATTTTTATAGATTGAACCTCTTTGCTTAACCATAATTTCTCATTTACTTTCTGTTTATTATTGTTTTTTTTATTTGTCCACCAAGGTTATGGTTGTTTTATAAAAAAATACTTTTTCCACCCTTTCCTAATACCCTTTTTGATATTAAAATTTTTAGTAATAATTTCTACTTTATCGCCAACTTGTAAGGGGAAGGAGAACAGTGCAGAATAAACTTCATTATAAATGCTCTATTGAAAAACTTGTTAAGTTGCTAATAAATAAAAGAAAGTTAGGTATTTTTACTGTTGCGCCGATTACTTCGGTAACCGAGGCACTAAAAAAAGAAGTTAAAATTACTATATAAGACTATTAGTATTGCAATTTCTAGTTAAAAGTTAAAGCAGTAATAGAAAAAAATGAATTATGAATAATAACAATATCAATTCCCTCTATCAACTAATTAAAAAGACTAGTCAACAAAAAGGTCATCCTTTGAAAATTATTTGTGATTGAGATGAATGCACGATGCCAGTAAGACCATGAGCCAGTTATCTCTTTTCAAGTAAACAAGTTCCTTTTGAAGGAGAATTTTTTCAAGACTTTTGAGAAAATACCTTTGTAGAAGGAGGCAGTGTTGGTGGTAATAAAAGTATAGAATATACAGGCAAAAGCGAGGAAACGAAGAAGGGAGTGGAGAATTTTAGAATGATGAAAAAAAGAAGAAGAGAAGGTTCGCAAGAACCTGATTTTTATTCTTCTCCCGAAAGATATAAAGCCCCCTTTCTTTCTATTCCTAAAGAGTTGTTACAATGCTTAAAAGAAGGTTTAGCTAATGAAATAATAATTATAAGTTCCCATCGAAAAGGCAAGTTAGTTTCAGAAAATCAAGGTAAATTCGACATATTTAACAGAACTTTTGGCAAGTTTCCTAATTGTAAGATTTCCATTTATGAGGTTGGTATAGACAAAGAACGAGGAGAAGGATATGAAAGAAATACCCCTCACCGGTGAGAATGAATTCGCGATAATCATCCTGATTTTGATATCTTTATTGATGATAATAACACTATCATTAGTTCAGCTTGTAAAAATCTTGGTTCAGATAAAATTTTTGTCCTTCCTGACTACAAATATTCTCGGCAAACCCAAGCTCCTAATATCTACCATGTCAAAACTACGGTAAGTGATGTTAAAGATAGTGATTTTGCGATTGCTGCTCTCGAACTAAAAAACAAACAATTAGAAAAAGACTTAAAAAGTATTCAACAGCAGAGAGAGAGAGAGAACAAAAACATATTGAATGATTGGAGGCGGAGTGATGATATTAGTTCTAGTGATATTAGTTATCTATAAAAATAAGAACCAATGACAGAAAGAAAAGAAATAATCAACGAAGAAGAAATTAGGGTTCTAGTCAAAAAATCCCTTCAAGAAACTGAAAATTTTGCAGAAATAGAAACCGTAAAAAAAAAATATTTAGAAAAGGGGGGTGTAATTTCTCAACTTTTTCAACAAGTGGGTCAAACTAAAGATTTAACCAAGAAAAAAAAACTCGGGAATTTAATTAATAACTGAAAAAATCAACTAGTTGCTAGGGTCGAAGAAATAGAAAAAAAAAGAAAGAAGCAAACTAAAGAAAGGGAATTAAAAAAAAGGGGAGTAGATATCTATCTCGAAGGGAAAAAAATTCCGCTTGCTGGTTTCCATCCTCTTACTAAAATTATTCAAAAAATCTATGATATTTTTGTTCCTCTGGGTTATCAAGTTGTCGAAAGTCCAGAAATTGAAAGTGAAGAGTGCAATTTCAACAAATTAAACATGCCACCTCACCATCCTGCTCGGGCGATGCAAGATACTTTTTACCTTAATAATAATTTACTTTTGCGCACCCACACTACCAATATACAAAGTCGGATTCTTTCAGAAAATCCTAACCAAGAACTAAAAATCATTAGCGCAGGCAAGGTTTACCGGCGGGATGATGACGATGCTACCCACACCCATCAGTTTACCCAAGTTGACTGCTTTGTAGTTGGTAAAGAAATTTCCTTTGCTCATTTAAAAGGAACCTTGGAATTATTGGTAAAAGAAATATTTGGTAAAAAACATTTTATTCGCTTTCGCCCTTCTTATTTTCCTTTTACTGAGCCAAGTGTAGAAGTAGATGCGGCTTGCGTTCGGTGTCAACAAAGAGGTTGTGAAGTATGCAAAAAAACCGGCTGAGTAGAAATTGCAGGAGCAGGTTTAATTCACCCCCAAGTATTGAGCAATTGTGGTTATGATAACCAAAAATTTACTGGATTTGCTTTTGCTTTCGGTCTGGAACGTTTATTAATGATTAAAGAGGGAGTGGAGGATATTCGTCATTTTTACTTAAACGATGTTCGATTTTTGAGACAGTTCACCACTATAAACTAAAAAACTAAAAACTTTAATATTGTAAATTGTAAAATAATAATTAATATGACAAAAGAAATGTCAACTATCAACAGTCGGCTTAAAGGAGTAAAAAATGTATAAAAGTAACTGTAAAAAAACATCATAAAATTTATGACCATAAGTAAAACAACAAATAATAAGAATTACAAATTAATAATTGGACGTCATTGTTCTTTTGAAAAAAAATCTAACTATTTAGTAGGTGCTGTTAAAGAAGCAATAAGTTATGAATCTAATGCTCTGATGATTTATTTAGGAGCACCACAAAATGCTCGTCATCGAGTGGCCTTAACTGAATTAAAAATACCTGAATTCAAACGAGTTTTAGTTGAGAATAAAATAGATATTGATAATGTAATAGTGCATGGTCCTTATGTATTGAATATGGCTAATGCGGCTCGGGAAGATATTTTTTCTTGGTCGGTTGAGTTCCTAAAAAAAGAAATTGACAGAATGGAAAAAATAGGATTGAAAACCATTGTACTCCATCCCGGTAGTGCTGTTGATACTCCGGTTAACGATTCTCTATCCCAATTAGCCAAAGGAATTAATTTGGTTCTCCGAGATAATTCCACAGTCCGAATTGCTTTGGAAACTATGTGTGGACGTGGTAGCGAAATCGGAGTAAGTTTTGAACAACTGAAACATATAATGGATAAAATAGAACAAAAAGAGCGAATAGGTGTCTGCTGAGATACTTGTCATTTATACACGGCTGGTTATGATATCAAAAATAACCTTGAAGCAGTAATTAAGGAATTTGACCAAAAAATTGGTTTGAGTAAGTTATGAGTTATCCATGTTAATGATAGTTCGCAAGAATTAGGAGCCAAAATTGACCGTCACGAGAATATTGGTTTTGGAAACATTGGTTTTGAAACTCTAAAAAGAGTAGTTTGACACCCTAAATTTAATGGAATACCTAAACTATTAGAAACACCACGAAAGAAAGACCATGAAACAGGAAAAGACTTTTCCGAAGAAATAAAAAAATTAAAGAAGTAAAATAAATTAATAAAAAATAAATGTCTATTAAACCAAGTTTCGTGCGAGTAGTTATCCAAAATGAAAAGGGGGAATTATTGGTAATTTTTCAAAAAAAATGAAATTGTTGAGTCTTTCCGGGCGGTAAAATAGAAGCCAACGAAACACCTTTGGAAGCGGCTAAAAGAGAAGTTTTTGAAGAAACTAATTTAATAATTGAAGATTTAGAAATAGTTGGCGAACAAGCTTTTGATACAAAAAAACCGGGTCGGATGGGTTATCTAGTTAAAGCTAATAAATACTCAGGAGAAATAAAAATCAAAGAATTAGACAAGATTGCCGAGATTAAATTTAAGAGAATAGATTATGAGTTTGCGGTTAATAGGCTTTTTTATGCTATCATTTTTGAAACTGACTAGCAAGGGAAAATGAGAAAAAATTCAAAAATTTTCGCTTTTCTATTTACTGAAACTTTTTTGTCTTTTGGTGCGAAAGCGGAAATTATTTTTATAGAATAAATGCAATGGAGAGGAGACTAAATTTAAACAACTTACTAACTACTTGGAAAAAACTTGCCACCCATTATAATATTGTTTGAAAAGACTCTTTTTTGCAATGAGAATTGCCATCAGATATATCGGCAGACTTCGCTCTCACCTTAGCTTTGCCAATTTCCTACCAAACCAAGCAAAAACCTCACCAAATAGCTCAAGAAATTATCAAAGCAACTGCCTGCCCTGATTTAGAATATACTATTACTGAACAAGGCTATCTTAATTTTCGTTTTCCTACCTCCCATTTTGAGCATTTTTTCTCCGAAACCTTGGTTCAAGAAGGCCAAAATCTTCAAGGTAAAAAAAAAAACTTTTGTCTAAATATTGAGTATGTTTCTACTAATCCGACTGGTTATCTTCATTTAGCTCACTTTAGGCATGCTTTTATCGGCAATACTTTGGCTAATGTTTATCAATTTTGTGGTTATCAAGTAGTTAGAGAATATTATATTAATGACCGAGGGGGGCAAATTAATTCCTTAGTCAATTCTGTTTATTATTTTTATCACCAATTGCAAAATATTACTCTACTAAGTTCAGAAAAAGTAACTTATGCGGGTCAATCTAGCCAAGAAGTAGCCCAAAAGTTAATAACTAAATGGGGTAGTAAGTATGTTAACCAGAAATTAAATGAGGAAGATCTTAATATTTGAAAAAAAGAAATTTTAGAGTTAATTTTAACCAAAATCCGCCAAGATTTAGAAAAATGTGGAGTTAAATTTGATATCTGATTTTCTGAAACTAGTTTGTATAAAAAGAACAAACATTTAGAATTACTAGCCGAATTAAAAAAAAGAAATCTAATTTATGCCCAAGAAGGAGCCACCTTTTTCCGCAGTAGTTTAGGTGGTGATGACAAAGACCGCGTAATTATCAAACAAGATAATGATTATACTTATTTTTTTTCCGACATTCTTTACCACCAAGATAAATTAAAAAGAGCCGACAAATTAATTGACATTTGAGGAGCCGATCACCATGGAACCATTGCTCGTTTAAAAAGTGCTTATCAATTATTGGATCATAAGCCAGAAAGTTTACAAATAATCTTAGTGCAGATAGTTAATTTACTTATCAAAGAAGGTCACACTAAAAGGTTTTCTAAAAGGGAAGGCAATACCATTGAATTAGCAGAGGCTCTGCAATATATGGACATTGACCAGTTAAAGTTCTTTCTCCTTGAAAAAGAACCTAACCAACCACTTTCTATTAACACCGAGTTATTAAAAGAAAATAAAGAAAAAACTCGTCTTTACTATATCCAATATGCCTATGCTCGCTGTCACCAAATATTCCAAAAGGCTCAAACCAAAGGTATCATCAAAATTAGCACTAACCTTGACTTACTAAATAACCAGAATGAAAGAAAAATATTTAACCTACTAATCCGTTTTTCTTTTATTTTAGAAAAAATTGTCGAAGAAAATAAACCCCACCACTTAGTTAATTATTTATACGAACTAGCTCGAGCCTGACAAGTCTATTACCAAAACAGCACCATTTTAGAACTAGAAAACCCAAAATTAACCAGCCAAAAACTCTTGTTAGTGAAAAATATTCAAATAATTTTAAAACTTGGTTTGGGATTGATGGGAATAACTGCACCATCCAAAATGTAGGGTTTTCACTTTCATCGCTACTTTTTCTGGTTTCAAAACAAAATAATTACTGGAAATAGAAGTTAAAAAATTACTTCTGAGATAGTTTCTTGTTTTTCATCGCTTGGATTTTTATTAATAGTTTTCTGTTGGTCAATAAACTTGCCACTAGTAAGGTAAGTCAGAACATTCTTTTTCGGGGGTTGTTAGGATGGAGTTAGATTGGGAAAATGTATGCTAGTAAGTATACTTAAAGAAAGTTAAACAGAAAGAGTTAGAGCAACGGTTTTTTGGCGATTTTTTTTCCGACCCATATTTATATCTTCATTTTTTTCAAGTATTCGTTGGCTGCCTTTTCTAATAGTTGATTAGTAGAAATCCTTTCCTTTTGGGCTAATAATTGAAGCAATTGTCAAGTCTTTTCTGAGGTAAATTCACCATATTTTGCCGGCACCAAGTTCGCAAACTAAGCACGGCATGCAAAGCCTTTTCTAACTTTATTATTTCAATCATGCTTAAAGAAGTTATTTTTTCTCCTAATCGCTCTTTATCCATCGTTAAAATTTGATCAGCCAAAATTTTACTTTTCTTTTTTAAAGCAATTTCCGGCTCAAAATAATAAACTTTATCAACTTGGGAACTAATTAAAGCCACAATTACATCATCGCTATATTTATTTTGCTTGTCGTTGGAAATAACCACCACTGGACGGTCTTTTTGAGACTCTTTTTTTCTGACTTTACCAATTTTGTCCTTTCTAGGTTCTTCTTCAGTTAAGTCAGCCCAATAAATTTCTCCCCTTTTAATTATTTTTTGAACTCATTTAGTTATAATCTTTTTCGTAAATCTCTCAAAGCAACCTTTTGGGCAGATTTAGTTATTCTTTTTCTTGCTTGGTCTTGACTAACTTCCTGATAGGCTTTCTCTAATTCCTGATCCTCATGGATAAATTCCGCTTCATCTTCGGAGATTTCTTGGTAAGTTTCATACTTAATTCTTTCTTGTTTTAAATATTCTTGTAAGGTTTGGATGTTAGATAACTTAAAAATATAAGGGGTGATTTTTTCTCCTTGCTCTTGCTTTAAAAGCGAACGCAAGGAGGCATAATTCTTGGGTTCCATGGTGGATTTGATGTAAATTAGTTTCATAATATAGTATTTTAATATATAAAATATCTATATATGTTTTATTTTTAACTTTTTGTAAATTTTAGCAAAGGAACTTTTATTCAAATGCTCTATTTTTTTTCAACCTTTTTTGTTTTCTTTAATCTTTTCAATTTCAAAGTTAGTCCTCCAATCGCCATTCAACTTACTATTAGCAAAACCAGTCAGAACATTCTTTCTGGAGGCAAAAAAGAATTAGGTTTAGTGGGGGTTATTAGGGTGGAGTTAGATTGAGGAGTTAAATGCTTGGCTAAGAAAGTTTGACGAGCCTGAACTACCTGGGAATAATTAACTGCTGCTTGAATTTGTCGTTGAATAGTTGAATCAACTGCCGCTCCAAATAATTTGGTTAGACTGGCTAGTTCGAGCTGTTTAATGACTGCTAAGTCCTCCCCAAACGGAGTGTCATTTGGCTGGTTAACAGGTTTAATGGTTGGTGGTTTAGTTTTAATTAGTTCATTTACTCGTTCAATTACTTGGGTTAAACTACTATTTTGGTTAAGACCTAAATCACATTCTTGAATGATTTGATTCACGATTAGGGTTTCATTAGGTTCTCCGGACTCCAATTTGGTAATGGTTGGTTGAGTGGGAGTTGGAGTCTTAGTTTGGTTAGCGTGATAAAAAGTAATTAAATCTTCTAAACTTTTACCTTCTGGCATAGGGTGAGTAGTTTTAATTTGGGTCAAATCAGTGAGTTTTAGATGGGTTTGAGCAGTGACTACGGTGTTAATAAAAGCGTTAGTTGTTTCAGTAAGGACTTGTTCCAAACTGTTATCTATTTCAAAATTATCAGTAATATTTTCATATTTAATTAAATCACGACATAAATTTTGTTCGGCTGGTTTAAAAAGGATTTTTTGGTTTTCTTTGATGGCTTTAAGTTTTTTACGAAGTTCATCTATTTTGGTATGAAGATTAATTTTTGCCTCCTCTAATGATTGTTTTTCCTCTTTTAATTTAGTAGTTTCCTTTTTTAGTTTTGCTTTTACCGTTTGGTATTTTTTAGCATCTCGCACACTCATTAAAATCATCACTCCGCCAATCGCGACCTTAACTAAGTCATCTTGGTTACTTTGTTGATGGTGATGTTGTTCAGATTGGGTGTGAGTTTGCTGTTCTTGCTCCAATTCGGTTGCTAAGTCTTGGTAGTCTTTTTTTTGCTGCTCGTTATCGGCAATTTGCTGTTGTAGTTGCTCATTCGCTCTGGCTAATTTTTCCGTTTGTTCTTCCTTATTTTTTGCCAGACGAAGTAACTCATTTTCTAATCGGCTGATTTGACCTTGATAATCTTGTTTTTTTCCTTTTAAACTATCCAGCAAGTCCGCCACCTTTTTGGCACTTTTTTTTGGAAAAGTTTCGGTTCAAGCGTTAAGTTTATTTTGAATAGTATTTAATTTCTCATAATTTTCTTGGGTTGGTCTTTCATTATTTTTATCAATTAATAATTTTTCATAATCAGTAAAAGAAATATCCGGTCGACTGTCCCTTTGTCGTTTATAATTCTTGTTTTCAACTTTTAAGCGGGTTATTTCTAGTTTATCACGGGCTTTTAAGTCCAGTAAATTATCATTAAGTTTATTTAATTCTCCTATAAGTTCATTAATTTCCTTTTGTTTGTTCTCCAATTCCTTTCTGGTTGGTCGCAAAGAATAATCTCCATTTCATTCAGCCAAGGTTATATTCGGACGATTTACTTCAATATTTAGCAGTTCATTATATCTCGTTTCCGTAATGTCGGGGCGGTTAGTTAGTTTAATAATTTCCTCTTTCAGTTCAGTAATCTTTTTGCCCCGATTTTTAACTCTGGTTTGGAGAGTTTTAAGATTACTTTGGTCGGTTTTACTAGTGGTGTTTAATTCGCTAATTTTCTCTGCTAGTTTATCGTTTTTTTCTCCTAATTTGTGAAGTTCAGTTTGTAATTTTTCCTCCCTAACCTCAGCATCATGAATTTGATAAACTAAATCAGCCACATTACTTCCGAGTTTCTTTATCCGCTCCTCATTTTCTGAATTACTTTTAATTAATTTTTCCTCAATAACTTTCGCCTTGGCGGGAGACTGATAACCTTGATATTTATCGTCAGTTCGGTTAACTGCCGCATCAAGGTCAAGTTGGGTGAATTTTACTCCTCGCTGGCTAGCCTGAGCCAAAATCGCGGTGGTATTCTTTGGGTCAATGAACTCTTGATATTTTCAGGCTTCGTTTTTCCGCACCGCTTTTTCAATTTCGGCTACTTGTTCCAGACTTTTATACTTAGCAAATTCTGCTGCTGTGATATCCGGACGCTGAGAAAGGTCGGGGATTTGTTTGGCTTGGTTTTTTCACTCTTGGATGGTCTTTTTTCACTCAGTTAGATTTTCAATGCCTAAATTGGTTAGACCAGTGGCATAAGTTTGGGCTTGCTGGCGGTAAGTATCCCGTTCTGTTTTTACTTGCTCGGCAGTTTGGTTAGACACCTTTAATTCGGAGCGTAATTCCCGTTTTTGCTGAATTTGTTTCGCCATTTGCTGATGACGAGTTTGCAGTTGACTTTGAAAATTTTTATTCTTTTTTTCTTGATTTAGTAATTCATTATATCTCTCGGTGCTGAGATTAGGTCGGGCAGAGAGTTCGCGGTTTTGGCTTTCTAATTCAGTATTTCTGGTTTTGACAGTTTTATATTTGTTTTTTCATTCTCCATTTTCTTTTTCGCTAGTGTCTAATTCTCCTTGTATTTTTTTAACTTTACGATCTAGTTTACGAACCGTTGAACGGTCTAATTGAGAACTATCCAAACCGTTTTCAGGCAAAATGAATTCATTTACTGGTGAAATTTCATTTTCTAACCCCTCCCGAGCTAGTTCGGAAGCGGAGATTTCCAAATTATTACTTATTCATTCTGCTCGATAAAAATCTGGTAAATTAGGGTTCGGACAAGTAGGGTCGAACTGATTTTGATTTTGGAGTGCCGAAAGAACTAATAAATTTTGAGAATTACCAGTCACAAGGTTGACCGGAATATTTAAGTTTAGTTGGTCGCCAGCCGAATTAAAAATTTGTTGATAACCGGTTGCTAAGCCATTCAAGGATAGACCAAGCAGAGTAGTATTGCGAGCCGTTTTTAAAGCTCGGGCTACTTTGGGCTGGTTTAAGAAAGCATTCCAAGAAAGTGAAGTAGAATTATTATCTTGCTGAACTATTTCCGGTTGAGTAGATAATTTTTGTTTTGAGCGGAGGTTTTTTAATTTATTTTGGAGTAATTTAACTTGGTTTCCTAAACTAGTAATTTTATTATCTTTGGCGAGGATTTTTTTGCCAAAAGTTTCTCTTTCTCTTTCTGTTAGTCGAGATTTTAATTTACTTTTTTCCCGGACTAATTTTTTGTATTTTTTTGCAAATTCCTCTTGTAATTCATTTAGTTCATCAATATCTTTTCCTCGTTTTTGAAAAGCATTTTTTAGTTCTTCGTTTTCTTTTTCTAACCTCTTAATTTGGTCTTCCGAGTGAGCATTAGCAGTTCGTTCTTCCTCTGAAAGTTTGTCGGTCTGTTCCAACTCCTCATCTTTTTGGGCTAATTGCTGCTCCAAATTATCATCCGCTTTCTCCAACTGTTTTTCCAACTGGGTAATTCGCTTGTTTTTTGCTCTAATTAAGGCTTGTAATTCTTGGTTTTCCTCACTGATTAATTGTTGCGAAAATTCCGACTCACCTTGTCTTAAATCAGTGAATAAATTTTCGGCATCGCTTTTCTCTCTCTCTTGTTCTAATTCATTTACTAACTTATTAATTTCCTTTTGATATCTTTTCGCTGTTTTAGCCTGACCGTTTATTCATCGTTGTAATCTTTCTATTTGTTTATCGAGAGTATACTCATAATAACTCGGCAGATTCTCATCATCCGGTAAAGCCTCCGGAGTTTCCGGTCGACTTTCTTTCTCATTTTTCATTTTGTTTAATTTTGCAAGCATTTTTTCTAATAAAATTCGGCAAGCTTGGTTTAGTCTTTTATTGTCGTTTAAATTTTTCTCTAACCCTTTGTTTTGGCTGGTTAATTCTCGGATTTCAGCAGCACGAGCATCGAGAGAATTTTTTAATTGTTCTTGTTCTTTAATTAAGCGGTCGTTTTCCTTTTTTTCCACTGTGCTATTTTTTAAATCTTTTACCTCTTGGTGAAGTTGTTGGTTAGTTTGAGTTAAGTCCGCCGTTTTGGCTTGCTGTTTAATTAACTTTTGCTTGTTCGCTATATTGGTTGCTTGTAATTTTCCTTTTCTTTCAACTAATTTGTCAACATTAAGTGTTTGAGCGTTTGACTTTTTAGAAACTTGCTTAACTTGTTGCTCCAAACTAACTTTTTCCTTTCATAATTTAGCCTTTTTCTCTTTTAACTGTTTAACTGTAATTTTTTCGCCCTTGTTCTCTTCATTTTCTCAATATAAATCTTGTTGTTCATTTCCATTATCAAAATTTTCTTTCAATTTAGTGGCTTCAATTAATTGGTTTTTAATTTCCGCTAACTGGTTATTTAAAAGACTGTTTTGCTGGTGAACCTTTTCAAATTCTTGGTCTTTTTTTTCTAGTTTCTCACTCAATTGGGAAGCGTTATTCGCGGAATTATTAAACTTAATTTCGGCCAACGCTAACTTTTTTTCTAATTTCGCAATTTGGTTATTACTTTTTCTTATTATCGTTTTATTTTCTTTATTTTCCTGTTTGATTTTCGTTTCATTTTCAGTTATCAAGTCTGCTAATTTTTGGGCATCCCTTAATTCTTGTTGTAAATCAACTTTTTCCTTTCTCAAACTCTCCTCTTGC